ATAAATGAGACACTTGCTGAACAGTCTGGCCATTATAAAACTCAGTACCAAGTGCAAAGCCAGACAAAGCCATTGTGGTTCACTAGAGACCAGTGGGTGAGTGCAGAAAGGGTATAGAGTCTCTTCCTTAAGATCTGGGTTAGAACCACTGTGGTTCTCAAATTGTGGTTGCAAGACCAGCATTATCAGCACCTGTTGAATTAGAAACTCTCGAGTGGGGTCCACTATCTGCAGTTTATCTAACCCTCCAGATGATTCTGATACAGCTAGAGTTGGATAATCTGCTATACATTATAAAGAGCAGATGCTGTTTTATTCATATGATTCTGTATCCTTCTGATTATCACTCTTAACAAGAAGTACAAAGAATAAGAAGAAATTAAAATTTCAAATAATTGTGAAACTTCATTATTGATGTATGTTGCTGGTGGTGACTTTTTTTTTAAATACCTCTTAATCAGAGTAACATATTAAGATAGAGTTAATGATCAAAGTAATAAAAGAGAAGGTCTTTACCAACCAAAGTGGTCACGTAATACCAAATTAGTTGTTCCCACTGTTGGACAAACCTGTATGCAAGATAAGAAGCAACAATTAGAACCCGACATGGAACAATGGACTGGTTCAAAATTGGGAAAGGAGTACCTCAAGGCTATATATTGGCACCCTGCTTATTTAACTTATTTGCAGAGTACATCATGCAAAATGCTAGGCTGGATGAATCATAAGCTGGAATCAAGATCACTGGGAGAAATATCAATAACCTCAGATATGCAGATGACACCACTGTTATGGCAGAAGACGAAGAAGAACAAAAGAGCCTCTTAAGGAAGGAGAAAGAGGAGAGTGAAAAGCTGTCTTAAAACTCAGAATTCAAAAAACTAAGATCATGGCATCTGATTCCATCACTTCATGGCAAATAGATGGTGAAAAAGTGGAAACAGTGACAGAGTTTGTTTTTTTGGGCTCCAGAGTCACTGCAGATGGTAACTGCAGCCAGGAAATTAAAAGATGCTTGCTCCTTGGAAGAAAAGTGCTCAAAAGCAGGGATATTACTTTGCCAACAGATGTCCATCTAGTCAAATCTATGGTTTTTCCACCAGTAATGTAAGGATGCAGGAGTTGGACCATAAAGATGGCTGAGCAGTGAGGAATTCATGGTTTTGAACTGTGGTGCTGAAGAAGACTCTTGAGTGTCTCTTGGACTGCAAGGAGCTCCAACCAGTTAATTCTAAAGGAAATCACACCTGAATATTCATTAGAAGGACTGATGCTGAAGCTGAAGCTCCAATACTTTGGCCACCTAATGGAAAAAGCCTACTCTTTGGAAAAGACCCTGATGCTGGGAAATTCTGAAGGCAGGAGGAGAGGGGATGACAGAGGATGAGATGGTTGGATGGCATCACCAACTCAGTGAATATGTTGTTTTTGTTGTTCACTCAGTTATCTCTGACTCTTTGCGACACCAGGCTTCCCTGTCCTTCACCATCTCCCAGAGTTTGCTCAGACTCATGTCCATTGAGTCGGTGATGCCATCCAACCATCTCATTCTTTGTTGTTCCCTTCTCCTCCTGCCTTCAATGTTTCCCTGCATCAGGGTCTTTTCCATTGAGTCGCTCTTCCTATCAGGTGGCCAAAGTATTGGAGTTTCAGCTTCTCTGGGAGATGATGAAGTACAGGGAAATCTGGCGTACTGCAGTCCAGGGGGGTGCAAAGAGTTGGACGTGACTAAGCAACTAAACAACAACTGCTGGACAGCTCTCCTGCCCCCTTTAATTTATATACAGATGATCTAAACTACGGATTTGCTTCACTATGACAATCACACATGATAATACCTGGAGGTGGTGGAAGTTAAGTTACCTAATGACTCACAAGTCTCCCATGGTTCTCAAATCATCAGAATTAGCTGTTCACATAAATTGCTGGGCCCCACCATCCAGAATTTCTGACTCAGTGGGTTTGTAGCAGGGCCTGAAATTTTGCATTTTGGAGAAGTTCCCAAGTGAGATGAAGCTGATCTGGCTTGAGTAGGGACCATTCTTGAGAACCAGGGACACGGGTGGTTCCTTCTGATGTGATCAAATTGGGTCCTGCTGCTCAACTTTTACAAAACCAATACTGACAAATGTTGGTGGAGAGGAAAGTCGCCTTTAATCAGAATGCCAGCTGCCTGGGGGAGAAGGTGAACTTGTGTCTCCCAAAAACATCTCTGAAGAGTCTGCTCAGCCATGAAAACTTTCAAAAGAAGTAGGAAGTAATATCAGTTAATCACTGGGATGGGGGTCAGAGTGCTTGCTATACCCCCTGCGTGCCAGTTGGGTGCAGGTTTGTCGACTCCTCATAATGTTTCTTTAGATCTTGTCTGGTTCCCACAGTTTGTTTGGAAGGTTACTGAACCAGAAGCTGGGGAAGGTATCTGATCATCTGTTAAATACTTATTCTTCACTTCTATTATACTTCTTTCATCTCCAGAAAGAATCAGAAAGTTAGGCAAAATATTGTGTGATCTAAAGATCTGAAAAGTGTGTCAGGACTGGAGATAAGTAGAACACAGGGTGCCTGGTTTAAGGTTAGCATCAAGACAAAGGGACCTTTTGCTGAGAGCTCCTTCCTGCCGAGAGCTTTTTCCTGCCCAAAGCTGCAGTACTGATCCTCTAGTGTCAAAATTTGACAGAGTTCTTGTCTCTAATTTTTCAGGCTCTTTAACTTGTAGCTTTTGTGAATCTGACATCCATTTTCATTTCTCTTTGATATTTTTATAAACTTTTCTGTAGAAATGTTGGGTCAGTAGGACCTCCCTGACCACTAGTTTGGTTAATTTACAGGAAAACATTATCTTTTGCCCCCTTCTATTCTCAACTGTCATCTAGTGTTTGTAAATAAAACTGGAACAGATGAAATATTTGGCTTTAGTTGGTATTTCACTGTGCTAATGAAATGCAAGGATTCATAAAAGTGGGGTAAGCACTGTTTATATAATGTGATATGGTTGGATTTTTTTCTAAGGGTGATTGTGTTAGCCAAGTATTATTGGTTCTTCCCTCTGTGGTTCATTTTTTACAATTTGGGGAGTTCATTTGGATATGAAACTATGGAAAATGGTGTTGACACATGCTTTAATACATGTATTCTGAGACTCCCCCCCCCCCGCCCACCTTTTAAACTTACCTGAACTCAGATATGTGAGTTATTTACAAGAAAAATATTTTCATTTTGGTTTAACTTTTTCTTTTGCTGTCATGTTGAATGAAATGTACTCACTGGTACAATTCACATGTGGCATAATTGTTTGCAGAGAACTTTGCTTGTTAAGACATAATACTTTGCCAAGCAGACATACAACCTCATGGCTCTTTATGACCGATAGATTTTAAGAAGCCTAAAACATCTATTTCAAGGGACTCTTCCCAACTGCCCTGTACTTTTGTCCAGACAGTTTAATGGCTGTGTTGATCTGTGGATATTATACATTTTAGGATTAAATTCAGCTAATACTTATTTTATTTAGTAAGCATAATGTCATGATATGTTTTTACATGCTAGCAATGGATTCATTTGGGAAAAACATAGCGTGCCAGAAAGTGGATGTAAGATAAGGTGCATAAATAATTTGAGCAGAATAATTTAAAGATCTATAACTGAAAACTATTGTAATTTTAACAGCTACCTAAAATACACATTTTATATGTTTATTTTAAACTAATACCAGATTAAAGTGTTGAATAATTTCAAGTAATAACCTATAGTAACTACATTCTTAATGAAAACTTTGTTTTGATTTTAAAATGCAACTCTTGAGAGGTAAGGTCACATATCTGACAGGGTGATCAATTTTTTTTTTTAGGGTGATCAATTTAAAGTAAAAGTAAAACTATGGAAAGGACTGATGTAAATATAGGTCACATTTACTTTGAAGACAGAATCATCCTGTTCTCACAAGAATGAGTATACAAGTATACATGTATATCTTATGTATTCTCATAAGAATGAGTATACATGTATCTCATAAGAATGAGTATAAGTTATCTTATAACTACTCAGTTATCTTCTGTCATTTATAGGTTTGATGTTTATATAGTCACCTTATGGATTTCAGAATGAGTTATTTGATGTCAGGAAAAGTTGACATCAATAATCGAGACAACAGGACCTATTGTATAGCAAAAGGAGCTATATTCAATATCTTGTAATAAACTATAACGGAAAAAAAAAACTATAATGGAAAAAATCCTCGAAAACTATATATACATATATATGTATGTATACACATAGGCTTCCCTTGTAGCTCAGACGGTAAAGTGTCTGCCTACAATGCGGGAGACCCGGGTTCGATCCCTGGGTCGGGAAGATCCACTGGAGAAAGAAATGGCAACCCACTCCAGTACTGTTGCCTGGAAAATCCAATGGATGGAGAAGCCTGGTAGGCTACAGTTCATGGGGTTGCAAAGAGCCGGACACAACTGAGCAACTTCAGTTTGCTTCACTTCATACATACATATATACATACATATATACATACATATACAAATATACATATATGCCTGAACATGTACGTGTGACTGAATCACTTTGCTGGACACCTGAAATTAATACAGCATTGTAAATTAACTACACTTGAAATTTTTTAAATGAGGAAAGAAACCCAGGGGTAATTTTAATTTTTTGTATCTAATGTGCTTCAGTATATATGTGCTGTATGCTTAGTCTCTCAGTCGTGTCCAACTCTTGGCAACCCCATGGACTGTAGCCTGCCAGTCTACTCTGTCCATGGCCAGTACTCTGTCCAGGTCAGAGTACTGGAGTGGGTTGCCATGCCCTCTTCCAGAATATCTTCCCAACCCAGGGGTTGAACTCAGGTCTCCCTCATTGCAGGCAGATTCTTTACCAACTGAGCCCCTGGGGAAGCTGGTAATGTTGCATATCTGTAACGACACATATTACTATTTTAGTGAGCACATCTGCAAATGGGATTCTCTGTTTCTTTTTATCATTAAAAGGGAGAAGCAGGACCTCCAGGTGCTCCGGGGCAGGATGGATCTCGAGGAGAACCTGTGAGTACCTTCTGGATTCAGTTCTAAAGGATGACGTTCTTCACCCGTCATGAAATAGTTTGACTATTTAAGTTCTCCTGTTGCCTCCCAGATGTTGTAGGAACTGTGGAATGCTATAAAGTTTTAAAATATTCTACCTTCTTTTACAAACTGGGTAAGGCTTTGCTAACAGAAAATTTATGTACTGAATGATTCTAAGTCACACAAATGACAAGCAAGTGCTTGACATGACGAGGAATCATGGCAGTGGACAGTGAAGGTATTTGGGTTTAATCTCTCCTCCTAAACCAGCAGACAGAAAACTGGGAGTTACAGAGTGGGACTTCATCCCCTCTTCTGCCCCATGCCATCGGTTCAAGAAGGCAAGAAAAGATCACTTAATCCCTTTTCTCTGACTCCGCTGTCCTTCCTGCTGACTGGTGGGGAGGAAGCAAGGTTTGCTGCACTGAGAGATGTACTCTGTTGGGAAAGCAATTAGTAGATTAAGTATCTAAAGTTTGCCCATATTATCTGGATATAATTCTTCTGGTCTGTATTCTTTTCCAATTAAGAATGTATATCATATGTTATTCTGTTATTTTGCCAGTCACTGAAACTTTGGCTTTTAGAAATATATCCCAGGAAGATTGATCTTTACCAAAGATCAAATATTTTTTTGTGTGTGAAAAACTTTGAAAAACAGGAAAAAAAATTATATTAGATTTTGTGATGCAAAGGAATGAAGACTCTTCTGTTGTGTGTGATGCTGGTTTTAAGCATTTGTGATGAAGATTTGGGCCCCACTAAAAGGAATATGTTCACTTAATTTGTTCTATAAATGTGGTAGCCAGGAAAATTAGTGGTGCTTAAGTAGGAAGGACAGAGTGCTTATATAAATGCTTTAAAGCTAATTAAACACAGCTTGTAGAAGCAGAATGGTGATTCATCCCTGCAAGCAGATTGATAAATGTGAACACTAACTCTTGGAATTAAAATTGAGGATAAGGGCTGTATTTTACTGGGAAATGATGATATTGCTTTAAAGTACAATTGCATGCACAGGCCTGTTTCTTTGAAACTTAAAGGCTGGTATTGATCAATCCTAAGAGTTCTTTAGTCCTAAGGGTAATTTACTTCCTGAGTGGCAAATGATTCTCAGTTAACTTCAATCCAGGTAACAAACTCATTTCTACCACTTGCTGGATTTATTAGCATTCGTTTCAACCGTATATCACTGTGTTTAAGAGTCTTTTAGTCATTCATTCAGTAAGCATCTACTGTCTGCTTTGTGCCAGACATTATATTAATTGAGGAGAAAATGAAGATGAATTTGTCATGGTAGTCCCCTCAGGAAATCATATAAGCCAATAGACAAAAACATTGTATAAAATGTCTGGAGTGAGACACGAAGTGGGGATGGAGGAGGCTTGCAAAGTTGACAGAGATGTATATGATGCTAAATGAATTTTAGGACATCACTGAAAAGGATACACTTTTTTAATAATCATTTTTTGAGATATGATTCACATACTACTGTATAAAATTTATCTATTTAAAGAGTATACGGATCCATTCTTAAGCAAGATGTTCTCTTGGCCAAATTCTGGAGGATAAATAAGAGTTGTTTAGTTGTTTGGCCTCCTAAGGAAGCAACCTGTAACATGTTCCAAAATATGAGAAAACTGACGTTAGTTGACTGCTTAGAACAGATGGAAGGGATGGGATAGAAATAGTAAATGAGCTTGTGGACTTCCCTTGCAGCTCAGCTAGTAAAGAATCCTTCTGCAATGCGGGATACCTGGGTTCGATCCCTGGGTTGGGAAGATCCCCTGGAGAAGGGAAAGGCCACCCACTCCAGTATTCTGGCCTGGAGAATTCCATGGACTATGCAGTCCATGGGGTCACAGAGAGTTGGACACGACTGAGTGACTTTCACTTTCACTTTGCAGGGGTAAGTAGAGGCCAAATCAAGACGTTGTATGTCTGTGCTATTTGGACTTAATCTGAGAGTTGTCGTGGTCATTCAAATGTCCTAAGGAGGGAAGCAAGGTGTTCAGTGACATTTTAGGAATGTCACTCCGACAGCAGAAGGAGAATGGGAAGTGGGCTGAGGTGGAGGGCAGAGCATGGCAGGATGCCAGCTGAACCCTACGGCCCCACCTCCCACTGAAGCAGGGTCATTCAGAGTTGGGAGGGGGAGAGGGCTTCTAATCTGAAATGAACTAAAAAAGCATCAACAATGCCCAGGGGTCAATTGGATGTGAGCAATATGGAAAAGGATGGCTCTCAAAGTCTTACCTCACAGATGGGGGCACAGGAAGACCAAGCAATGAACAGGAAGTAGAATCAAGGAGGATTTATTTCAGCTGGGGAGGTGATCCTATGATATTTTCAGATGGGACAGTAGCAAACCCATTTAAATAAGAGGCCCATGATTTGCAGAATTAGCCTAGGTATAGAAAATGGGGACTAATGCAATTCCAATAAGAAAAAGTAGGTCAAATTCAAGGCAGTTTTAGAAGAATTTCTATGACTACTAGGTATAGTAGATTGAAATGTGTTCCCCACCAGGATACCAGATCTTAATAACTAAAACATGTAACTGTTATTGTATCTGAAAACGGGGTCTTGCAGGTGTGATTAAATTAAGGATCTTGTGATGTGGTCTATCCTGGCTTGTCTGAAGGGAAGCAGATCTAATCAGTTAAGAGCAGAACTGAAGTTTCTCAAGGGAGACAGTGATATTGGAGTGATGGGGCCACAAACCCAAGGGATGCTGGCAGAAGGCAGAAAAGGCAAGGGATGGATTCTCCCCTGGGGCCTCTGGGGGAGTGCAGACTTCCAGCCTCTATAACTGTGAGAGAATAGCATTCTGTTGCTTTAAGCTACCAAGTTTGTGATAAGTTTTTACAGCAGCTATGGGAGATGAGTACACTAGTCTAATCTTTAACCACCATTTATGTCACAAATCTATGTGAAAAGCCCATACTGATACACACCAAACTCTTCATAGCACATGTATTGATTAAAAATATTTGGGTTCAAAGCAAGTAGATAGACAGGTTTAAATGACAATTTGGTTAAAAGCAAAGCTGTTCAATCATTAGCATTTTCTGAGTCATCAATTTTGTTAAACTCTCATGTGTTTTGCAAAACTTCTTTTGTCCACTTTATATTTTTTCTACATTTTTGCATTATTTTGTTTAGTAACTTTCATCCCATCTGTCTGCTCTGTACTATTCATCATATTGCAAAATTGGAATAACTTAAATGTCTGATACATTATTGTGTATGTAAACCATAGTATAAAAATATAATATTTTATGTTTACATAAAATATAATGGCTTCCGTGGTAGCTCAGCTGGTAAAGAATCTGCTTGCAATGCAGGAGACCCCGGTTCAATTCCTAGGTTGGGGTGGTCCGCTGGAGAAGGTATAGGATGCCCACTCAAGTATTCTTGGGCTCCCCTGGTGACTCAGCTGGTAAAGAATCCACCTACAATGTGGGAGACCTGGGTTTGATCCTTGGGTTGGGAAGATCCCTTGGAACATAATAAAGTCTGATACTTTATTATGTATGTAAGCTATAATATAAAAATGTAATATTCTATGTTTATAGAAAATATCATACTCTCGGAATATGTATGCATAAGGAAGAATCTACATGACAAAAGTTTGGTTTAATCACGTTTTGGTTACTTTGCTTATTTTTCCTCCCCAGTTTGCATTTTGATTCCTGCTTTTTGCTTGCCTGTGTTTTATTTTCTCCTGCGAGCATGATATGGTTGTTGTAATACATTATAAAAAGATAAGGCCTGGCTTTTGCGTGTTCTGCAATGTTTCTTTGTTTTTCAAACATATTAAGTTTGTCAGGTTGTATTTTCATTTTTGTGCCAAGGAATGGCACAAAATCAGATTGCTTCAAGGAATCTTCAGTTGTTGGAAATGTGTTTTCTTAATGTCTTACTGAATGACTCTGATTTTACCTTGTGCAGTTAGGTAGATGGGGAGACAGGGCAGTATGGGAACAGTATCATTCCAAATTTACTTGTAGTTGACACAATAACTCTTCACATTCATTTTTTACCAAATTGGCTTTTAGATCAAATTATCATGTCAGTCAGCTACTTGGCTTTTGCCGGGGGTTGGTGACCAAGTTACCTGAACTGTCATCATTTCCCCCACTGTTCATCATAGCTGTTCTGAGCAGGTTGGAGCTCAGCAGTATCTTGTGTTCATCGTAGCTTTTCTTCTCAAGTGTCGGATCCTTCACATCCTTAGTTCTCTGATCAGCAGCCCACCTACAGCGTGGGTGCAATGTCTCTTGGTGAGGACTCGCAGGCAGGACTTGGGTTCCACTCTTTGCACTAAGATCCCTGGAGCCCCACAAGGATGAAAGGATGCCACACTTCCTGGGTCTATGGAGGTGAGCACATCTTTCTTTGTTAAGAATGCCTTAAGTCATTTTATTTTGCACACACTTGCCGTATCATTTTTCCAGAGATGAAGGTGTGGGGATCTCTGTATTGTATTTGAGGACATTGACTCATAGAGGCTTTTGCTTCATTTCCTCGTACCTTATGAATTCTTGCTAAACCACATCTCATGCTTCTCTTTATAGTGTGTGTTAACTGCTGAGGTGGTCTGAGGTATCATTTACTTAAGAGACAAGTAGGTTTTTTGTTTCATCACCTTTTCTGTTGTGCAATTATTTGACATGCCACCTTATGCACAGAGGTCAGAGGCAGAAAATCCTTGAGGGAAGTTAAAGTTGAATTGGCATGGTTGTTTCCCACGTGGAATAATCCACTTTATTTTACTAGCAATGTGGACGTGTCTTTATTTATTCACTTGGCTTTATCTTTTATTTAAAGGAAAAAGGTAAGAGGAAACAAAACCCCACTAGTTTTGATGTTGCTCTTATTTGATTTGCAACTGTATGGCAAGCTTTTTAAAGTCAGTACATAATTGTAAGATTTTTTTTTTCCCACTCCTCTTTCAGGAACCAGGAGTGGCACTT